TGGTGGCCCCAGGAGCAGATGCCTGCCGTGGCTTCACACTCAGTGTGTGGGACGTCACTACCTCTGCGCGTATTCTTTATTTCATTCTAGGTTTTTGCCGTAGGGCGTATGTGCTCACCAGAGAGTGAGAGGGAAAGCGAGAAATCGCCCCCCGGGGGTGGCAGCCATGCCAGGATCCCTTCTCCTTCATCCTCCTTCTGGAGTCTGGGCATACGCGTACCCGTGCCTGGAGTGATTTTCAAGCCTTCGGCTTTGGGACTCAAAAACGTGGTTGGCCACCTGCTGTCTGGCCAGCGCCTTAAACCACCATGCCACCTGCTGGCCCAATGCCTTCCGATTAAAAACCAAACAAATCCACGGGGGCTTTTAAGGCGCAGAACTTGCTTTTCAACCCTGTAGCAAGGAGGACGACCACAAGGTGAATGGAACTTTTAAAAAAGAAACAAACACAAACTAGGAGGGCTGACGAGCACTTCTGGGGTTCTCTGGCCCGGCCTGTGAGAGTCGTCCTTCACCAGGGATTTTTTTTTTTTAGAGGTTTTTGCTATAGGGCGCATGCGCTCGCCAGACAGAGACAGAGAGACAGAAAGCAAGAAATCACCTCCCGGGGGGGGATGGCCACGCCGCAATCCCTTCTCCTTCGTTCTCCTCTCAGGATCTTGGGCACGCACGCACACGCGACTGGCATGAGATTTTTAAGCCACCGCGTCCGGGACGGGAACCGTGGTCGACTACGTGGGAGTCCAGTGACATAGCCCTAATGCTACCTGCTGGTCCCTACCAGGGACTTTCAAATGCCCTTCCTGCCAGAAGGCTTTCTTTATATACCATCCCCACCGCGGGGAGCCAAGCAGTAACGTCACAAGGAATTTGTTCAATCTGAGCAGACTGCCTTTTTTCAAAGGTGGAGCATGACCAGAAGGATCAGGTATTTCAATTAAGTTTTGGGGTCAGAAATGACCTTTTTGACGCAAGCCGACTGAATGCTGTGTGTATATTTATTCATAGATACATACACTGAGTGAGACCTCGTGAATCCCTTAATTAGAGTAGTCTTGTACAGTGGCAGAGTGTGTGTTTCTGCGTAGAAGTGTAGCGATGTACTTACTCATGCTAAACCTTTTATGAAGTGTAGTTGTGAACTTAAAATCCTTTTATGCAAAATAATCAGATGTGTTTACTGGACGGTGACCTGCTTTGTTTCGGAGGACAGCGCTTTGATTTTATTATGCTATGTTATGTCTGAACCCAAATAAAATACAAATTCAAATGTAGACTGTGTAAGATGATTATAAAACATGTTTTATTAAAAAATAATAATAATTTTTCTCTTTGGGGCTGGCAGGTGGCGTGGTGGCTGAGGCACTGGACTGCCACATGGCTGACTGCACTCCAGGTCCAGACCTGGTGGCTTGCTTTCCCACTCTCTCTCTGGCGAGCACACACGCCCTATAGAAAATTAATAATAATAATAATAATACATTCTTTAAAAATGAAAGAAAAATATTTCTTTTTCCTTTTAATTTGCTATAGGGTGCATGTCCTTGCAGAGAGGGAAAATGAGAGATCTCCCCCCCAGGGAGGGTGGCCACGCTGCAACCCTTTCTCCTCCACTCTCCTTGCGGGACCTGGGGCACGCACGCACAGGCACCTGGTGTGTGTTTCAAGCTGCCGGGCCTGGGACTGGAACCTCGCAGTCAGCTGTGTAGGATCTGGTGCCCTAGCCAGCACACCTAGCTGGCCCCAGAAGTCGTCCCCCCAAAAGGGCTAGTTCATTTGTAGGCAGTGCACGTAAGCCTTACGTTCCTTCAAAGACAGTGCACGACGGCAGCCCGCTGCCTGCAGGCCAGCTAACGATGGGCACGGAGGCTGGTGGCTGGGCAGCTGCCCACGTGGCTGGCTGCAGTGCCAGTCCCGGACTGGCGGCTTGGAGGTCAGCTGGGCACGTGTGTGTGTGCTCCAACCCTGAGAGGACAGTGGAGGAGCAGGAGCCGGGGCATGGCCATACCCTCTGGGGGTGCATTCTCACTTTTCTCTCTCTCCGGCAAGTGCACGTGCCCTACAGCAAAAGCAATTTTTGAGAGAGAGATTTTTGCTATAGGGCGCATGTGCTTGCCAGAGAGACCAAGAGAGATAGACAAAGTGAGAAATCACCCCACAGGGGCATGGCCACGCCGCAATCCCTCCTCCTCCCTTCGGGATCTTGGGCACACACGCACACGCGCCTGGCATGAGTTTTTTTTTTGGAGAGGTTTTTGCTATAGGGCACGTGCACTCGCCAGACAGACAGAGACAGAGAGACAGAAAGCGAGAAATCACCACCACCACCCCCTCGAGTGGATGGCCATGCCGCAATCCCTTCTCTTCCATTCTCGCCATTCACGCACATGCACCCGGTGTGGGTTTTAAGCCACCAGGTCCGGGACGCGAACCGCAGTCGACTACGTGGGAGTCCAGCGACATAGCCATTACGCTAACTGCTGGTTCCCCGGCATGAGTTTTAAGCTGCCAGGTTTGGGACTTGAACTGTGATTGCCTACATGGGAGACCAGCGACATAACCATTACATCCTCTGCTGGTCTTGTAAATTTTTTTTGAAAAAGAGAGAGCGTTGGGACCAGCACATGGCATAATGGTTACATTGATGGACTACCGCATAGTCAACCATGGTTCAAGTCCTAGACCGGGTGGCTTGAAACTCATGCCAACTGTATGTACGCGTGCCCAAAATCCCAAGAGGAGAGTGGAAGAGAAGGGATGGAGGGTGATTTCTCACTTCCTCTCTGTCTCTGTCTCTCTGGCAAATGCACACACCCTATAGTTAAAATCTTTCTAAACAAACAGAGAGGTTTGCGCTGCTGTCTCCTGCACCAAACCGGGCTGTTCTCGTCGGGCTTGCCCCAGAGTCCGGGCTGGAGAGCTACCCATCCCGGGCCATGGCGTCAAAGGCTGCGTGGGTGCTGAAGGTGACGGCCCGGTGCAGGGCTCCATTCGCTTCGAGCAGGACAGTGGGTTCATGCTGGTAACGGGACGCTCACAGGCTGACTGAAGGCCGCACGGGCCCTGGGCTGCAAGCCCTTCTGCATTCCAGGGATGGAGAGAGCAGACAGCCTTGCTGGTGCAGCGCCACGCTCTCATCTGCTCCAAGGCTGCGGGGGCTGCTGGAGGCCCAGGACAGGTGACGCAGGTGCAGATGGCGTGGCCGGCGTGCCCACCGACGGCGTGGGCGGCACTGTCAGGAGCCATCACTGGCCACATCGTGGGGGGTCTATGACAAGCTGCTGCCTTGGGCAAAGGAGGAAAGGAGGCAAGGACAAAGAAGAGACAGCAGGTCGTAGGGCAAGCCTTTCCTGGGACGAGATGGTTCGAGTCCCAGAAACACCCCTGTTACCCTGCTTGCGGCAGAGATTGAACTTGGTCAGCACTAGACACCGCGACTGACCGGCGTCGATGTGTGACTTCCGCGGATCGCTCTAAGTACTGGTAGTGAGATCTGATTTGTGACCCCTTGGAAGATGTGTATGGTTTTATAAAACTCGTACTCGATTAAAATGTGTCTCGGTGATCTCTACATTTTGCCAGACTCAGTCACATATGGATATAGAATTGTCTGAATTTCTTCAATTCTAAAAAAAGCGGGAGTGACTGTCCCAGCGTTTGCACCCGGTCCTGTGCCGACCCCTGCCTCGGCCATCATCTTGCGGGGAGCCTGCTGGTCAGTGGAGGTGGATGAAGGCCCGGTCTTCCCACCCCCCCCGAGGTTTCCTGCAGTGGGGTCAGCCTCCAGGCCCAGGGCAGCCCGGTGTGTGCCTCCACTCCCATGCTCTCCCCGTCCACCCTGGCCTCGGTCCGAGCTGGTCACTGCGGTCGGCTAGAGGCGGCTCCTGCAGAAGTGGGCACAGGGGCCATGGTACTCAGGGCAGGCCGCAGCGATGCCCACATAAGGCTTACAGCCATGTCCGGGCCCTCACCGCCCCATAGCCATGCTGGTGTATGAGTCCCAGTCCGGCAGCCACGGTGATCCCTCCTCTGCTTCGACCTGCAGTGTCCACGGCTGCCTGGTCCCAGTGAGCCGGCCCTCAGAGCCACGCTGAGCCGTGGACTGCAGCCACAGCAGCGTGGTGGCAGCTCGCGTCCCCCGTGAGAGGACTAGGTTTGACCTCGCTCCTCGCCTGCGTTTGGTGAGAAGGTGGCATCCGATGTCAGTTTCAAACCTGGGCAAGTCGGGGCCACCAGGTGGGATGGTGGTTAGGCACTGGACTCCCACGTGGCTGGCTGCGTTTGAGTCCCAGACCTGGGGCTTGAGACTCACGCTGGGTGCGTGCCCCAAATCCCAGGAGAATGGAGAAGGGACTGTGGCGTGGCCGTCCCCCCAGGGCTGACTTCTCGCTGTCTCTCTGTCTCTGGCGAGTGCATGTGCCCTAATAGCAAAAATCTCTTCTAAAAACCAAAACAAACCTGGGCCAATCCGGCCTTTTCCCGCGCTTTGTCTCCCCAGAGTGTTTTCGGCCGATGTCGGGAGGTAGGCTGGTCTCCAGCCCCCGCACCTCCTGGTCTGTGGAGGCGAGCTGGGGCCGAGGCCTGCACACCGCCCGAGGGGTCTGCTCGTCCAGTCTCCGCCCAGCCCACGGCTCTGCGCGGCAGTGCAGGGTGGAGGGCACAGGCTGCCCACGGCCACGTTGGGCTCGGCTCCTGCCACCAAGGTGTGGGAGGCACCTCGCTGCCCTCCGCCCCGCCTGTGCAGCCCGCTGAGTGCCCGGCCTGCCCGGCCTCCACAGGGCCGAGCGCCGGCTCCGCTCGTGTTCCCGGCAGCGCTGTGACTCCGAGGACAGTCCCCACTGCGGACACATGCTGCCGGAGCAGCTCACGGCGGTGCCCTAACGACACACGCCTGCTCTGTGACGGCTCTGGAACCCCTGGGCCCGCCGTGCCGGGCATGGGCCACCGCCAGGGCAGGGTGCGCTCCCTGTCTGCTGTCACCTGATGGCTGCCGGGCCTGGCCTGCCTCCCTCCCTGCCTCTGTGGCTGCCTGGTCTTCAATCCTGTCGGAGGCGAACCTTCCTCAGGGTCCCTGTAGCAGGGACACTTGTGACTGCATTCGGGCCCACTCAGACAACCTGGGACGACCTCCTCATCGCAAGATCACGGATCTAATGGGTGTGAGCGAGTCCCTTCCTGTAAAGTGACAGTCACAGTTTCCAGGGTCAGGACCCGAGGCCGCACTCCACTGTGGGGACCCTCCCCTCACACTCGGTGTCACCGACATTCATCCCTCCTTGCCTTTCTCTCCTTATTGTTGTGAAACCATTTAAAAGCAAGTCTCTGTAGGGCCAGCAGGTGGTGTGGAGGTTAAGGCAATGACTCCCACAGGCCCAGCCGTGGTTCGAGTCCGGACATGACGGCTTGAGAAGCACCAGGCGCATGTGCATGTGTGCTCAGAATCCCAGGAGGAGAGAGGAGGAGGGACTGTGACGCGGCCATCGCCCTGGGGGGGGACTTCTCGCTTTCCCTCTCTCCTACAAGTGCACAAAAAAACAAAAACTTAAAAAAAAAAAAGAAAAACAGAAAAAAGGAAAGAAAAAAGAAAGAAAGAAAAGGAAAGGAAAAAGCAAACTGCTGTAATTTCATCATCAAATTCTGGGCATTTTTCTTTTTCTTTTTTTACTGTTTCTTATTGTTCTTTTTAAAAATGTGTTTATTTGCATTCATTCACTGTACATCATTACAGCATACAAAATGAGATTTCCCATCCAGAGTACACTGTATATTGGCTCAATCAAGCGCATCAACATACGTGTTTTGGTCAACAAATAGTTTTCCATTTCTCGTTTCCTGTATGTTTTGCTTTTTCCCATCCTTGATTCCCTCTCTCTCACCCTCTGCCGTCTCCCACCCTCCTCCCACACTGTCTCTGGTATCCCCTGGTTGCTCTATACTGTTCTCCCCCCACATTTTATTGAGTCACTAAAGATCTGAATTAATCTAAATATTTGCAGTAGCAAGCGCAGCTGATATGTACATTTCCATGAACACAAGTCCGACTTTAGGCACAAACCTGTGAGTAGAATGAACGTCCTAGAAAGTAGCACCTAGCTGGGGGTACATAGCTTACTGCAGTCATCAAATATGCATTTATTTTTAATTTCAAGAAAAACAGTTTTAGTTTATCTTTTTTTCTGGAACTTTTCTTTTCTTTTTTTCAACTTAATTTACGTTCATTCCCTAAGCACCGCCACAGCACACAGAATGTGGCCCCATCCAGAATGCACTGCACAGTGGCTTAATCATGCACGTTACTGTCAATAATTTTCCATTTCTAGTATTTTTTTTACCCCTATGTCTGACCCTCTGCCCTTTC